GAATTTGTCTTTCCACTTAGGGACGTTTAAGGGAGTGTCTGAAATGAAGTGGACATCGTTGCGGCTCTTGAGGTAGATCCCCTGAGCATGTTTTGACGGTGTATAGCAGTAATGGAAGAAATCTAGGTCGAGCCGACCCAGACGGATGTGGCAGAGGATGATGAAGACGGTGATAAAACGGATGGCGTTGGGCGGAAGTTGGTTCAATGGCAGGTCGAACCACTTACAAAGATCGACCAAATCGTGGCTTTAAAAAGGATGCCAAGTTTAAATTGGATCTCAAAGAAAGTGTAGCAGTTTTTGTAGGTCGAACCACCTACAAAAGCCCAGCTGGCAGGATAGCCAACCTCTTCTGCATCCAACCAGCCAACTATGAGAGAACGAGAGGAGGAAGAAGTCTTCTTAGAAGAGGTAGACACCTTGGTCGACTTACCCTTCTTAGGGGCAGCCTTAGGAGAGGTAGCGACGGGGATAGCTGAAGAGGCGAGAGGTGTAGCAGCAGTCGAGGATTTCGGAGCGCCCTTCTTAAGGTTAGGGGAAGGGGTAACCCGAGCAAAAACGGAATTTCGAGAAAGGGGAACATTATCTTCGTCCTTCTCAGCAGCGGCTTCGGCAGCATCGAGAGCCTCTTCAGCAGCGTCAGAAGCCCCAAACGCCGGTCGACGGCGATTAAGAGGGATGTGATCAAGGGTATCCTCATCTGATTCGTCGATCAAACGATTAGGTTGGCGAGGAGGAGAGGAGGTTGCATAGTTGGAAGGAGGTAAAACGCTGATAGGAGTGGGATTGTAGATTTCCTCGACAGAGCGGGAAGGCGAGTGAGGGATAGGCCGGTGGGTGGGGAATGATGATGCGGTAATCTCATCCTCACCAGAATGGTGGCTTTGCGCTTTAGAATCGATGGAATCTGAAAAGTAAAAGGAAAAATAGAGAGGGAAGAAGAAAAGTTAGGGTTTTGAAAGGAGAGGAAATGGAGGTCTTTCCACATATGGAACGAGAAGGTCTCGGGGAAAGGAAGAAACAACAAAGAAAAAACCAAAAATCGACAAAATAAACACACGTGAACACAAAATTAAAGCATAGAGGACTTACTCATAGTTGCAGCAGAGAGCGGTTGCCAGAAATTGCTAGAAGAAAAGATGCCGAGAGTAGGAGCGAGCGATTTGCAGAGAAAGGAATCAAAGCACAAGGATGTTGGAGATTTTCAAAGGTGAGAAAAAGTCGGAAAATTGGCTAAGTGCCGTATTTATAGGAGTACATATGAATAAGGTGAAGAGTTAATGGAGATGACCATTAGATAAAAGAAGATCCAACGGTGGGAAAACTTAAAGAGGCACAGATAGCGAAGCGGCGCAAATCGCGAGGAGGCACAATAATTAAAAGAACTGAACCGAAAAGACATGTGGCAGACAGAAATCACGCTGACAATAAAAGGAAATAAAAGGCAGTTATAATGCACTATAAAATTGACCACGTGGTCGAAGAAAGGTGGTAGCATCAACAAAAAACGATCGAAAGAGGAGGCCAGATGCAAGTAGGAGATCGAGAGGTTGGCAGAGTGAAGAAGACAGCTCGAATTCACTCTTAGATCGAGTCATTTAGACTCGACCAGAGTGGAGGGGACTAGATGATATGGGATATTATATGACTAAGGAATAGACCGGCCTACCGCATAGGTCAGGCAAGCTCGAAATAGAGAAAACCGCCTTGGTTGAAGGATGATCGACCAAAAGGGAAGAGATCGAGCAGAATAGCAGAACTGGTCGGGGATCGACCTAGTGATGGCGGGCTCGACCAGATCGAGAACACAACAGGTAGTGAGTAGTCGAGAGCATGGCTCGAACGCAAGAAGGCGCGTAGATGGCGTTAGAAGATCCCAACGGCCTGCGCAGAAGAATAATCTCCCTCAGCTCAGAGGGACACGTGGCGAGAATACATTGGTGCAGAGCGATAGTGGCGAAAACCACCCCTGACATCTCTGACACACGCACACTATGTGTGTACGGACGGAAAGTACGGGTAGGACAGCTCACCAAAATCCGGGCAGTTCCTAAAGCAGGTATCTCACTCCTATATATATTGGAGTGGGTCTTTTTTTTAGGACTTACGATTTATCCATTCTTTACTTGGGAAAATTGAACAAACACATACTGACTTAAGCATCGGAGGCTCTTCACCGGAAAACCCCTTCGGTGTGAGAGTTTTGTGTAGGTGCGTAGCGTTCTACTGGCAAGGAAGAGGAAGGCGGACCGATTTCAAGCCAGTCGGAGTGTTTTGCGTTACCAAACTCATTGAGATACTTAATGATTATTACAGTTTTTCTATTAAAAATAATCTAAACATAAGGACTTTTTAGTCCGTGCAATTCAACTTAAAACATTGTTCCATTAGAATATTTAAGTTTAATTATTAAAAACACCAAACTGGATTTGCACACTCCCGAAAATCTCTCTCCCTCTCTAAAAACCTAAATCGCCGAAACCTATACTTTTTGCCTTCTATAGCGGCGAATGGGCTTCGCCGGCGATCGACCCCTGGCCGCTCGGCCCTCTTCCCAGTGGCGCTTCCTCTCGCTTGAGTCCTCCGATGGTTGGCTTTTGGGTTTGTCTCCCCTTCTCGACAATTCTGGATTTGGCCTCCGATCGACAGCTCCGGCTGTGGTGGTGTGGAGCAGGGTGTGGAGTTGCAAGATGTGGTCGGGATTGGCTAGGGCTGCTCGTGGCTTCCGAGAATGAGGGGCTGGGGTCAGTAACACCTTTTTGCTCCTTCTCCTCTGATTTCTGGTGTTGATTTTGGGGGAGCGAGCAGAGTGCAGCCGAACTTGCTAGTGGTGTTAGTGGTTCGGTTCTGCGGCGGCTCTGGGGACAATTTCGGTGTTTTGCGGTCGTGGGGCGAGTTGACTTTGGGTGAGTTCTGGGGCTTAGGTTTCAGCTCCGTTAGGCAACCGTAATGCGGTTTTTAGGCAGTTTCGGGGTCTTTTGGGCTGCAGGATTCGCTTTGGGTCGTCTTGGTGTCCGCTGGTTGGTCTTGCTGCTTTGGAAGGGCTTAATTTTCGTGATGTTATAGTATTTTATTTTATGTATGTTGGTGTTGTTTGTGTTTGTTTTGTTCATGTCTTTCGGCCGGCCTCTATACTGCCCGAGTGTCAATTTATTATCCTGTTGGAATCAGACACTCGGGTATTATCTTGGTGGGATCCTTTTTAGTTGTTTCTCTTTTAGTTTGTGTAGTTGGTGTAGTGTTGCGAGTGTTGTTTTTCTAGTTTTGCTAGTGTCAGGATTTTAGGCGGTCTTCTGACATATCTTCCAACTTTTTCAGCTGTTGGCTGCCAATCAATTAGTGGCTATATTCGCACATTTGTGCATTTTGATTTATAATAAACTTATTTAAAAGAAAAATCTTATATGTATTATAAAAATTAAAATATATGATTGTTTTGAAATATCAAGTGATTGCTATTATTTTTCAAGAATACTAATTGATACATATTGTAACCCATATTTTTAATATTAAATTTTTTGTTGAACTTAAATAGTTTAAGAATTTCAAAATATATTAGAAATAACTTTACTTTTAGGATACACTACAAATAAAATACAATAATTTTAAATGATATCAAGAAAAAATATAGATAAATAAATGTTCATATCCCCACGAAGGTCATGTATGATTCCTTAGTTTATTTGATATCAATATAGCGAGTAGATCTTACATAATCATCAAAAGAGGTAAATTTTTTTTTTTTAAGTGAATCTTTGCTCTTTTATGTATATTAATTGTAGACTCAACATAAACAATAAATGAAATAATTAACAAAAAATTATTTAGAGCTTTTTTTATATAGAGAGAGATGAGTCATCGGATGAGTTTGAAATAACAATGTATTTGTATATATTATTCTAGTCGTCAATATATGATAGTACAAGCACCAAACACAAATGATATCTTAAGCACTCCATTTGAAAAAAATAAACTTTCATAATAACTACACGATCAATATTTTTGCTTAAATATAGAAAAAAATAGAATTCAAATTTGTATAAATGATACTTATTTTAAAACAGAAATCTCATATATATTCATGAAAATTTAAATAAATAATTGTTTTGGAATAGTAAGTGATTGCTATTATTTTATAAGAATACTAATACATATTGTAACCCATATTTCTAGTATTACGATTTTGGGTGACCTTAAATAGTTTAAGAATTTCAAATATTTTAAAAAATAACATTTACTTTTAAGATACACCATAAAATTGGATAATTATAAATGATATGAAGAAAAAAATATAGATAAATGAAAGTTTATATCTCACGAGTGTCATGTATGATTCATTAGTTTATGTGACATCAAAATAACGATTAGATCTTACACAATCATCAAAAGATGCCACAAAAATTTTGAGTGAATTTTCGCTCTTTTATGTATCTTAGTTGTAGATTCAACATAAAAAATAAATGCAATAATTAACAAGAAATAATATAACGTCATACGAGTTTGAAACAATTATGTAATTGTATATAATTATTTCAGTCGTCATATATGATAATACAAGGATTAATTAAAGTGTCTCTCAAATAAGCTATTGATATTGTATATTCTTAATAATTTTAAAATGATAATCTAATTATTAATACATCAAAATCCATTATCGAGAATCATGAAATTTTGAAACTTAAAAAGAATTATACAGAAAATAAAAAATATAAATATTTTAAATCACTAAATATGTAAAAAATAGTTATTAAATACCATTTAATATTTTATTTATATTATATTTCCGTATATCAGAAATCTCAATGTTTCTTAACCAAATTTTAATGCAATCTTTTTCACCATGACCTGTAACTATTATTATTTTGAAAATTGTACTTCAACTTTCAATAAATTTGACATTATCTATTACGTAATGTACTTCTTGTGTTTGATTAACTGAAAATAATAATTCAAATAATTGAATAGACCATAAAAATATAAAATAGAAAATATAATTTAAAATCGCATTAAAATATAAATCATGTATCACGTCACCGCATGTGCACTTTACTAGTAATATTCAAAGTGAAGCAAAAAACACGTGATTGATCCTATCAGACCATATAAAAAATGTAACACTTGTGTCTTTTTAATCACAATTTTCTTCTTTTGTGCTATAATGGAAATGTCCACAAGAGATTTCTTAATCAAAAGAATAAAATTGCATTACACTCCGAAGCCTAATCAAACACCAATATCTAAGCTCAAACAAGTGAGGCCTTAGCTTCTTTGTCCTGAGGGCTCACCAGAAGAGGTGTTGTACTCTTCTCTTTAACCTGAAAGCAAACACATGCAATGAAAATGCGTAGTAATGACTGAATTATATTTTTTAACGTTCAAGTCTTACAAAACACATGAAATCTTAGTCCGAAAACAGGCGGTTAAATTACAAATGATCTGCAATAANACCTGGGACAAAGTCGACACGTCCCCATCGTGTTTCCTTTTGGTCTCATTTGTGCAAAAGTAGGAATATAAACCCATGCCAATAATGGCAATGAGTATGCCGATAATGTTTCTAGCAGTGAAAGGGTCGTGCAATAGCGTATAGCCAAAGGCAAGAACAAGGCATGTTTTGAGATGCCCCAGAACTTGATAGGTAACTGGTGAAGTCTTGCCGATTACTAAGAACGTGCTAAAGTTTACAAACACGGCAATCAAGCACGAGAGCAGTATGAATCCCTGTCACATTATTGATTAAATTGATCATCATATTATTTTGAGTAAAATGCAATTTTAGTCATGTATGTTTCACTACCCTTACTTTTTCGTCCTTTTCGAATTGCGTTTTTCAATTTCGTCCTGATGTTTGCAAAATGATTACAAAGAAGTCATTTTCGCAACAAAAAAGTTCTTATGTATGCTTAAGGACCTTTTTGTAACTTTTTTGCAAATATCAGGGACGAAATTGAAAAATGGGACAAAAAAGTTAGGGTAGTGAAGCATACAAGACTTAATTGACATTGAATCAAACACTAGGGGATTTTGTAATTTTGAGAATCGACTGTTTGCTTTTTGTTGGTAATTCGGGTCCGTTTTTATAATTATTCGGAAGAAGGAAATGAATCCGCGGTTTGTAAACCAAAAGCCTCATAACGACTTACCAAAACAATGGGAGAATATTTGTAGGCAAAAACGTCCTGTTTGGTGAGGAATCGGTCTAAGAAAGGTCCCAACACGAACAGAATTGCTGCTTGAAATGGAGCCGACTGATACAATAGCTGGGTAGACGACACGTTTAGTCTCTTCTGTATCGTGTTCGTCAGCTGAAATGTTCAAACAAATAAATAAATATTATTAATTTAATGAACCAAACATGATGACAAACTAGAAAAGAAAATCAAATGAACAAATTACTTACGATTTGGCCGACACAAGTTGTTATGATGGCTAAAAGGGAGAGAATCGAGCCTACGATGTTCAGCTGGAGATCAGTCACAGATGCAATGCCGACACCGAGTAGCAAGATTGATAGGGAGAACTTAATTTTCTGGCTGCATAAACAAAGGGAAAAAAGAATTGTAAGTTTTCTTATCGATTTTAAGTTTCTATAAATGTTTGTTAACATATTTCACTAGCCTGAATTGCTTTTTCAAGAACAGAGTTTCCAACAGGACAGTGAAGGGTATGATGGCAAGTTTTGTCATCTGCACAAGCACATAACAGTTTATTGAAAAGGGATTATTAAAAAAAGAATAAATATAGTGAGATCTCAACAATTTAAAACAAAATCATTGATATATTTTAATTATGTACCTGATAGAAGCCAATGGAGTTAAACCCCAAGCTGAGGTTTAAAAATCCAATCGAAACTCCATTCAGAATCCCGAAAAGAACCACGGTTTTCATGTCGATCACCTTGTTCTCGAAGAAATTCAAGCGTAAAGCCACATGAAGACAACAATATGTTACCATCAGGTGCCAACTAGTGAGTGTTGTAGCTAATAAAAAAGAAAAGAACTATAATTAGTGCAAATAACACATTGTCATTACAAAGGTCTTACTGGCAATGGCGTTTGAACGAATTTGTGTAAGGGGAAAAACATTAAAAAATTTGTTAATTACCGAAAGGAAAACCAAGATTACTCATCAAGGCCTTGTTGCAGATGACTATGGAGACTGATGAAGCCACTGAAAGGAACAAAGCACCCATCACACCTAACTGAAACCCACCCATCTCTCCCATCTTACTCTGAAAACCACAAAAAATGTTATTGGAAAAATGTCATAAGCCTTAATATATATATAAATGTGCATGAATCAATGTAGATATTTTATTTTATTTTATTTTTTACTTCTATTCATTTTTTTTATTTTTTTTTCAAATGAATCATGTGGTTATAATGAACCTGCATTCTCTGGGAAAATCTTCTCCAAATCAGGCTAATCCAAACATTTCTTTTTCAGGGAGAAAAATGCAAGCAAAAAAAATGGCACTGAATGCATTGAGATGGAATACATGCAATAGTAGTAGTGATCACGATCGAACATTGATAGAATGAGAAAGAGCCTAAGAAACTTAAAATCGACACTCGCGTTAAATACACGTCAGAGAAAGTGAATTCGAAACAAATGCATTTTCAAGAAGAAAAAAAAGTATATGGTACTAACTTTCAAAGAAGTACGTGCCCTCCCAACTTCAAAAGATCACTATTTTGTTTAGCTTTGGCAAGCAGGATACCGGCCAGCAAAGATGAGAGAGAGAGAGAGAGAGAGAGAGAGAGAGAGAGAGAGAGACAGGTCTTAGCTTGTATTGGACTGCAAAATAATATCAAGTCTTTTATGGGCTATTACCATGTGGTTGGTGCTTAGCAGTGTTCGTTTTTGGCTATTAGATGGTTTTAAACAATCTGGAAGGATATTTATTACATCACTATGGATAATTATTATTATTTTCTTTTTGGAAATCTTCAGTGATATATGTATAAAGAACTACGTAGAGATTGATATTTTTAAGCCTCTTGGCAAATGACCATGAATTAATTATATGAACTTAGTCATTTTTCTAGGTTCATGGTTCAAAATGGTATTGTGACATTTATTACAAGTCTAAAACAATTTAAATTATTGTCCTCTTGTATACGTTTTGTTTACATTTCACTTTATTTGACGTCTGTAACTGTATCCAATGAATCACAACTCCTTCAAAATTGAACATTTCTAATTGGGACAATATTATTATTAATCTACGATTGCTACATTTTATTAAAAGAAATATACACCTTATTGGGTATTATACATTTTGCTCCAATAACAGGTTAACCTAATTAGACAACACAAACTTACTATGCTGACTGATTTTCTGGTACTAGGTAGACTTCCCTCCAAATTTTTTGTGATAAAATACTAATAAATAATAAGTTTGCGTGGAATTTTAAATAGATTTTATATATGTAAGTCTTGGGACCGAAGGTTGGAAGGTGAATGAGGACTACTTTATGCACAAGCAAAATTGTTGACGAGTTTTCTTTTAATCGTTTGGTGAGAGGTTACAACTTAATAGGGACAATAAAATGACCCAACGAATTTCAATTAAATAAAAAAAAAATGTGAAAAAATTATTGTCACAACTCACAAGTACCTAATTGAAAAAAAATAAATAAAATAAAGCAAAAACTGCCATCAACCACTAATAACTATCAACATCCTCTATAGAGAAAACCATGTTTAGCATCCAACGCAAACAAGATAAATATGTCAACTACTAACACGCAAAAGTAACGTTCGTAAATGGCACCCAACTTCAAAGCAAGAACAGAAGATTTATACCAATCACTAATGTGCATCAGCAAGCCTAAAAACTAATCGAAACCTAATATTTACTTCTGCACAGATGACTGAAGTTGAAATCCGAAGAAAGATTTTACGCTCTACGGAACGTGGCTCAACACAAAGAATATGCTTATATGAGAAACCATTTGAGTTCATGGGTTGAATAAATGGGACAAGGGAAAATTCCCAAGATATAAAAAATAGACGAGAATTGAAAAAAGTTGTTCTAAAACTTTGTAAAGTATTCCTTATCTGCAGTCTCAAGACGATCTTGAAAAAGTGCCCATTCGTATCTGCATCTCTCACGCACCTATGGAAAAATGAGAGAACAAACAACATTTCACTCCACACACAAAGCACAACCAACAAAAGTTTATGATTCAGTTTATCTTCATGTTTAAAATTTGTGAAAAGATTTTTGAGATACCCTCATGGAATGTGATGAAACTACAGTTCATTTAGCATTTCATTTATTTTGGTTTTCAAATATAATACATTAGTATTTATTAACAAGCTCTAAAGTGAATGAAAAATTTGTTCTAGAATATAAGGAATAACTAGCACAAAATCAGATCAAGGGCGACTTAAGTTTGGAATAACATACCCCTTCCCATGGTGCTTTCCCATTCTCAGACACTCCCTGAAAAAAAAATCATAAATGCTTGGGTATTAGTTAGACGTTAGACAATAAATTTCAAAATGCCATACCAGAAGTTTGTAACAACTCCAATATATATTAGCGTAAATGATAACTATATCTTCAAACAGAATACAATATTCATTAAGAAAAAAAATGATTTTGCTGAATATTAGTGAGTTATGACTGACCTGACTTCCTAGTGATGGAATGACCTGATGCACAATCCACTGAGAGTCAACAACACCAATTTTTTCATGTGCTGGCTGCAGACCAAAGTAGAAGTGATCAGAAGAGTTTGGCCAATTACGTCATGTTATGCCACAAACAGGAAGTCAATATATCTTAAAAGTTCAAATAAGAAGTTCCATTCTATTCTTTCTCTTGTCGTATCTCTGAGTTTACCAACTCAGTGTTTATTACATTTTAATACTCCATCTTCTTCCGTATCTGATTTTGTGTAGGGATTTGTTTTTTAATATATGTATGACCAGCTTTTGGAATTAATAGTGGGTGTGATTTAAGCAGGAGAGGATTAATAGGGAGGGAGGGAGAGGAAGAGAGAGAGAAAGAGAGAGGAGAGAGAGAGAGAGAGAGAGAGAGAGAGAGAGAGAGAGAGACTAACACTGACACATCTTCTTAATGCAAAATCTAACCCCCATCCATGTACTAAATCATTCTGCAAGCACAAGAATACAACAGTTATTTTGGATCAACTGGTAGAAGCAGAACTCATAAGAAAAGAAACTGAGAGGAGAAAGCTTCAAAGAAATAGATAAATGCAATTACGCACGTCCTAGACTGAAACAAATACCTGGATCAAATGCCAAACACATCTCCAAGCTTCACGGGAGAATACTGGAGCCATAATTTCGACGAAGCTGGAAGATACCAAAGATAAATGAGTGGAACCATCAGGTGAGAATTTCTTAAAACGGAGAGTAAATGTGAAGATCCATTAATAAGTCAATTACAAAAGAACCTTGATAAAATAAACACATCAAAAAGTTGTGTAAACGGTTCATCATATATTGTGTTTTTTCTAAAATTTCTTATAGTTATGATAATTTCAATACACCATCCTAACTGGAGATTAAATGACCTTCCTTCTGCCCTCAGATTACTGATTTACCCCAGCTAATTGTGAACCATTTCATCTTTTTCACTCAGGAAGAGTAAACATTCCATCTTTCTGAGTACATTTTCCTTTTAACCCATTCATGTATGTCCACGATTTGATCTCATTGGATTAAGATTATCAACATATATATGGACGTGCGAATGACTTCACATATTATCACTTTACAGTTTCTCCTACTCAATATCCTAGTGCAAGATATACATGACTGCTGAAAATGCAGAAAGATGTGTGCATTCAGAATTTAGTGGTAAAAAAAAAAAAAGAAGAATTTAGTGGTAAAAGAGAATTTACGCAGCACATGGAGGCAAACGCGGATCACTGCACCAGCCTGGTCTCTCCTCTGTATCCCTGTTTATCAACATCCAATCACCTTTAGGTTACAAATGTGAACAGATATCTATATCATTCTTGTGTTTGTGTGTGTTACTTTTGTTCTAATCTTTGTTTCTTCCTACTTCTATTTCCTTTTGAGTTGGGGTTTTTTTATTTATTTAATGAAGGACCTACTTGTGAACTTCTATGTCACCTCTTCTCTTGGTCATTTGCCACGTCAATCCATTGTTAGGTTCTAAACCAGGCTGGGAAATATCTAAACCGTATTTCTTAACCAACTGAATGTACCTAGCATGCATAAAAACACCAGATCAGTTGATGAGCTAAAAATCAATACATAGCACAAGATACATGACCATTGAGTTGGATTGTACAGAAAATGATAATTTACTTCTGAGCATCAAAGTGTTCAACTCCGAGATCTTCATCCCAAATGAAGATGTACTCATAAGCGGCTACGACATCCGGGTGTAGGAATCTCTTTGCATACCACCTAACCAAGCAAAGGATGGACGAAGTCACTTAAAGGAAGGAATAATTGTTACGCTCCAAAAACACGATAACTTCCAAGATAAGACTTGTACGTTTATTGCAAGTAATAATCGAGAGTCTTAGCACACAAAAGTAGAACAATTTTGGAGTCATACAACAAGTTAAAAGATCATTCTGAAGTTTGTCAAGAATAACATAAAATTGAACCTAATCATCGTTGAGTAATTTCTCAACAAAATTATTTTTTAATTAATCCCGACCCAATTAATGCAAGATTCACATCACATCTCATTTGAGGTCCTAGTCTACATCATAAGGTATACAATGATCAAAAGAAGACCAGAAGCTAGAAACAAAATATTACCATTTTGTTTGTTTCCTAACACTGACATGTATGGCACGACGTGACCACTCAAATTGCTCCCATTCACTCGTCCGGCCATCATAATGAAAAAGCAGTATTTGGAAGTCCTCTGAAAACTATTATAAGAAACAAAGTCAGCATTTGTTAACACGCTCTATGGAAAGGAAATCAGTTAACATTGTACAGATAAATTAAATCAAAACTGGCATAACCTTCTTCACAGCTGCATCAATATTGGCTTTTTGATTCACACCAACTGTAAATGTAACAAGGTACTTTGGCTTCTTTTTCAGATCCTGAAAATTCAAATTGTAAGTGTGAGCACACTACTTTCGACTAATTATCGCAAAAATTATGCACGGAGCCTGCGGCTGCTACAGATATGCGCTAAGAATTTTACTATTGTCAACTGAAAGATGTCTATTAATATATACAATTGTAAGCCCAAACACGAAATAGATTTGGCAGAAGGAAAACGAGTGGAGATATCTTTACTAAGTTTTGACCTAGCAGTTCCACCGATTCCACATGTAACAAACAATCATAACCAAGTAAGTGAGTAACTCAATAAAAAGCAAAGAGTGATCAAATCGAAGCACTATACAGACATAAATAAACCTATCCTTGTAGATGAGGACGGAGTCAGTATATTAATCACATAGCAGATACATCATCAGCATCGTCATAAAATAACATAAGAACCTCAGATTGCAAAATTATTTATGCCAAAACATTACCTCACTAGGCTCGCCCCATAATCTTCGCAAATATAAATCTGATTCTGAGACAACAATTCCTGGTGGCAAAGACTCTGCACCCCGTGGATTCATAGGAGCATAGATCTGAAACCCAAAATTCAAAGAACAAATATATATATATATAAATAACTTCAGGCATATTCTTCATGTCATCCAAATGAGTAAATATTTCATGATTTTTTGTTTAATCACTAGAAGGGCAGTTAGTTCATCAATCATCACACTGTACAACTGAATTGTATATTAAATCTGTAATTATTTGGACCATTTAAGTTGTGAAGCAACTAATTTAATGAGTTACTGCATAAGAATTATTAGGTCTTAGGAAGAATCCCCGAAATTAAACGCAACAACTTTTGCTTGAGTTCATATTGTTAGCGTCTCTCAGTCTAACAATTCTTAGTGACATTACAAAATAAATCTTCAGTGTCTTTTGGGTTATGTAGTGTCTACGGTTGATTAGGTTACTTCTTTTGTAATTAGAGAGATCCAAAGGTAGTTCCAACAGTCCATATTCAAAGTGGGAACGAATGTATATCTACACGCTGTTCAGTTGTAAAATTATAAATGTATTTAGACCAACTTTTGCCTGCATTTGAGTTGTTTCCTCAGTTAGTTCGTTTTTCTTTTAAGGTTTATTGTTATTTTCAACACCCTACCCACCACACCACCACTTCTTAGTTTACATAGCATGATAAATCAGTTTGATACTTTCCGGGAGTGATACAAACTATAAGAACCATACATACTTTTAGGGGCTTCTTCATTTTACAACAGCTTGTAGACAAAAATGACCATCAAGAATCAGACAAAGAGCAATAGTTCCTTTGAGCGATTGTTCTGTTGCAATATTTGTCCCCTAACAAGCATAACTACAGACATGTCATACGGATTTTACTCTGACGACTTTTCACTAAGTGGCAAGTGCACCCCTATTGTCATATGCTCCATTGACCGATCAATGACAAACAACTATTTTACTGATATCTACTAGTATTCACAGAAGAACATAAGCCAAAGACCCAAAAAACGAAAAACACAATTAAGTTTCAATTAAAAAGATAGCGACAAAGGAATGTGCACAAACGGAAGTAGTACCTTGGGTGTTAAAGGAGTACTTCCAGAGTCACGGTTGTCAGGAAAACTATGACTATCATCATTTAAGGTTACATCAAGAGATGTCACTAAACTTGGAGATACATTTATCTTCTGGGAAAACATGAAAAAACAAAGAGAACAAAATTATAATATGAATTCTAACGAGTAACAGTTATTCCCCATTACGCAAGTTGCACAAAGAATTTAGATCATACCTTATTTAACGAAACAGACTGAAAGGAAACACCTATAAAATAACCCAGCACCATTCCCATTATGGTTGTCATAAAGAGTCGAGCAGCATCATTAGACTTCTTAGCAACCCCACTGCACACAGAAATCGAATTTAAAAGTAAGCAACCTTGGCCAGAGCCAGCATTCATTTGAATTTATTAGATCAACATCAGCCGCTTGACAAACCTTCGATGAAAGGTTCCCATCAAAATTTTAATTTGCTCAACTCTAGGCAGAAACCAATTTCTTGAGCAACGCTAGAAGAATACAGGACAACTGCCACTTTAAGAAATCTCTATAGCTGCACCCATCAAAAAAAAAAAAAAAAAAANCAAAAAAAAAAAAAAAAAATAGTAAAAAACACGTTAAGTAATATCTTATCATTAAGGCTGTTAAGCATATATTACAAAGGCCCTTTAAGGTTTTAAAGAATCGTCTGCACTCAAACCCAATATATGGTAATGTTCTAATCCCATTGCCCAATCAGGGGTCCTTGGAATTGATATTCCAAGGCATTGCAGGTCAGACATTGCTGACTAGTAACAACCGCTATTTCCATCATGGAGGCACATCCTCACGAATCTCATAACCATGAAGTGGGATATCAAGTAAACACAAGTTACATTCCCTAACATTCTTCATAATCAAACCATATAACCATATAACCACTTTTTAAGATTTGATCACCAATCAAAAAACACACCAACTACACAAGTGCTGAGCATCAAGTGGTATGCCAAAGTCTGGAACTAAAAAAGATACTGCCTTTCAACTCACCTCAAAACTTCAAGTGAAACAATGGTAAAGCAAACAGCATAACAATAACGAAAAAAAAAATAAGAATTTTAATGAGAAAACACCAAACAAAAGGACCTTTCAAACTTCTGATTCAGTTGTGGAAGATCGACGGCAAATGCAAAGGGGTTATGAGAATTTGGGTAGGCAATGGATTGGGAGAGATGGAGAGAGAAGTGTCTCTGTTCCTAAAGAGATCGCTACGAATGGCGTTTGATTTATCAATTACCGGCGAAATTGAAACTGACAATAGGGTAAATTGCATTTACCGCCTGTTCAACGCCAATTTACGAAAAAAGGACCCCTTACTAGACTCCGACTTTAGTCACAACTCGTAAAGCTTTCAAATAATATAATTTTATATTTACTTCTTTTGGAATTTAACCACGTACTACAATTATTCATGGGTTTTCAGTAAGACTCCATTTGTTTTGAAGGATTTGAAATCCTTTGATTTCTAAATTTTTGAAATATAATATTTTTACTTGCACATTCTTTGAATGGATTTGTTGAAATAATTATAAATCAATTGTCTAGCTCGTGGTAGTGACGAACCTAAATGATCGCGGATGGTGCGATCGCCAACGGTGATAAACAGTAGATTTCAAATGACTAAGTTTGAGAAGTTATTTAAAATCCTTCAAAATAATGACTAAGAGGGGTGTATTCAATTAGGATTTCTAAGGACTTTTAAAGACTTTAGAAATCCTGGTGTATTCAATTTAGATTTGTTAAGACTTTTAAAAATCTTGGGGTATTCAATTGGGATTTTAAAAAGTTTTACAAAATTCTGAGGTATTTAATTTATTTGACACTAGGATTTGTTATGACTTTTTAAGATTTGGTGGGATTTCTAAACAAAAAAACCTTATACGAAATCCTAGTTGAAATCCCACCTCCAGACTTAAGATTTCACGGAATTTCTCCAAAATCTGGAAATCTTAACAAATCTCAAATCTTAAAAAGTCTTAAAATGTCACTCTAAATCCCAATTGAATACACCCTCCTAAAAAATATCTAGCATGAATTTGAAATCCTCCAATTTCCATTACCATCCCAACATGCATGGAGATTTGAACTTGTAAATTTAAAATTTATAGATTTCAAATCTCTCAATAAATCCTTCAATCCAAACGTAGTTTAAAAAAATTATCAATCACAGGTAGTTGTCCAATTATAAACCGATCAATATGAAAAAAAAAATTAGTTATTATCGAAAACCTCTTCGTATACATCATAATTAATATTTTTAAACCATTTCAATTAATTGAGAAACAACAACATATAACTGTCTGTGGCTAAAAATTAGTCTCACCAAATTATGTCAACATATGATAAAAATTGATTCTAACTCTTGTTTATGATCATGACATGATAAAAAACCATAAAAAGAAACTGCATCAGGTGAAACTTTAACGGAATCTCAATATATGAAGGAGCTAAATTCATTTGAGAAATCAACACATTCTCACATGCATGATCTTCTATTAGTATATTACATTTGATCACATAAGTGGAGAGATTGATCACAACCAAACATGTCCCATTGCATAGCCTCATAGAATAATCCATGTTGTATAACAACATTTCTTGAGTTCGAAATGTTGCTCATGATTCGGTACTCTTGAACATTTGATAAGTAGATTTGTTTTAAATTTGAAAATGTCTAATTACCCAGTTTTAACTCACAAATATTATGCTTCCAAAAAATCAAGATAGGGATTCTTATCAATGCATATCACAAAGATTGTTTAGAGAGTCAAACTTAAAAAAAAGAGTTTAACTTTAGATTTTTTTTCAACAACCTCTTTATATATATATATATATATACTAGTTGGGTCACGCCGTGCACGCACGGCGGACTCAAATTTAGCCTAAAAATACAGTGAAAATCTTTTATTCTTTGTAATGATCAATCAAGTTCATGTCCATTTTTTACACTTGTTGTTAACAATATAATCTTTCACCATAAATGGCTCATTACACAGCTTTATAGGCAATTGTTGCAGTTCAATTGTTGCAGCTCTCTACATAAATACTTATAGTCTAAAAAGTACATCACTATTATGTGCACGTATGGCGGACTCAAATTTAGTCTAAAACTATAGTGAAAATATGTCATAACTTGCAATGATCAGTGGAATTCATCTCCAATTTAAATTTAAATTTATATTTATTTTTTTTGCGGATTTGGAGATTCATTTTCTAGAGATTTAAACTGCATATCCAAAAGTGTAACTACAAACCCGATAGAATATATTCTGAACAATTATCACCATGTTTGTGTTTCATGCAACATTGTGTTTGATCAATTCAAACGATTCAAAGAGGTGGCATGTTGCGAAATTTTTCAAAATAATTTACTATATTTAGTAATACATTTAGGCGGAATTTTAGATGATTTTTAGCTACTATTATCGGATTATTTAGGTTGCCTCTTTTAATATTAAATGTAAAAGTATCTAAAATATTATATATTTTTTGAAAAATGTGAAATTAGCCAAATTTTGTCTATAAAAACATGTTTAAAGTTAATGATTCTAATTTTGGGCCACCAGGAGTCCAAACCAAAAAAATAGGTGAGCCCATCCCCACCCTAAAAATGATAACCCAAAAACAAAATAGTTTGGAATACATGGTACAAGATTTTTGTACAAGCGTAGAAGGTCTGTAATGGGTGGGACATCGAGTATTTTTCTTGTGTATCTCTCTATTCCTCTAGCTCTCTCTCACTCTCTCTCTAAGTAGCAAAGAAAAAGACCTCAACTTAGATTCAGTGTAGTAAATTGTTTAAAAAAAATATATGTCATTTTTCGTTAACACAAAATTTACAAATATACTATTGCTCCATTAAATGACTATAACATAAAATCTAAGTTTTTTGCCATATTTTTAAATTTGTAAATTTTCAATTAATTATTTGAATTAAATTGTTAATTGAAATGAAAACCAAATTGAATTTGGTTGTTTCATTTACAAAATACATGTTACAAATCAATGTTGTATTTCCCAGAAAGAAAAGTAGTTTATAATTTTTACAATAGCGCACCTTTTTTTAAGTATATATACCAAATACACCACCTCATATAACTATTATATGTTTTTTTATGGCAACATAAGGTTTACTCATAATTCTGGCCATCTTCACAGTCGACATTGCCTTGGCCTAAATTGCTTACAATTTGGCAGAGAAAGAGAGTAAAAACATTTGACAATGTTTTTACTGTCGCAAATTCCCCGAGTTGTAAGCTAACAAAACAACCTAAAATGGGCAAAACGAAAGGCGACACACAACCGGAAAGGACGGTTAGGTTTTTTCCCTATCCTTTTACCATCAATCAGCTAAAAGTTATGAAAGATATTCGAATCATCAAATCAGAGAGCAGATGAGATTCTTAGTCATTCAATTGACCTAGACTGATCATTTAAGCACAGGTTCTGTAAACTTACCCTGATGCAGCCCATTATTGTTCAGGGCAATATGACTAAATTGCCCTGATTTTGCATTGCTTCTTCAGGCCATTAAGGTAATTTGAAGTTAACAGCTGTTTTTTATTCTTCTTGCACACTATCACCTACACACGCATCTTATCGCACAATGAAAAAACAGATAGAGAAAGAGAACTTTACAGCTATTATTGGTGCCGTTTTCTACACCAAGAGATAATTACAGATCTCCACACCTCTTTTTATTCCCCAATGAGGCTCTCTACGACGAAGTTGTTTAAAAAAAACATTTGAAATAAAAAAGTTCCTAAATTTTGCTCGTTAAGTGTAGTTCCGGCTAAACGATTATGTAGGCGTTCAACTTCCTCATGAAATATATGAGCTGCTCGGAATTTGAGTATGTGGTGCGGTGTGGGGTGCGGCAACTTGGATATGCCAATATGAACTAATTTAGGACAAAAATTTTTCAGTTCGTGGGATGCTTTTACCCGCTTTTTGTCGTTGGATTTGTTGTTGGCTTCATCACGCGGCATGTTTGGGTTATGAGAGTAGTTCCTTTTGGTGTGAATTGTACCTTAGCCACTATTTACAACCGGGATTTGATTGACGCGTTTTCATGACTGGTAAGTTAATCAAAAGATTAAATAAAACACCATGTTGCAGTAATATGTCTATTAACGATTCAATTTTTTATTTTGCGAGCAGGTGTGAACCGTTCCCTCTACAAAAATCATGGAAAAGGCTACTTGCTTGAGAATAGAATCCTGGAAATGGCCTGTGTCTTACGGCCTCAGGTAAATTAAATTTTGCTTTTATGCCTCAGCTAATTTAACAAATTTTGGGCTTTACTTTTGTTCACCTTTTAGTCATAGTTTGTTGTTTGAGGATAACCCAACTTGCAATGTAGGTAAACATTAGTTATAGTTTGTTTGTTACTCTTAAAAATAGTTGTTAATGTTTGTTTACTGAATTTTACCACCAAAGTTCATGTCATGTTCATCATTCATTTATTGAATTTGTTGTTTTGCTTTGAATTAAACAGGCTGTTGAAGCAGGAAAGAATGTGTAGCTCGGGAACTGGAGAGTTGTCAGCAGCAATTGTCGAAGGGTCGATTAGCAAGTTTTTGCTTCTTCCACTTTGAAAATGAACATAAATACTTTAAAACGACTTTCAATTTTGATTAATATGACTTTGAGTTAAAGATAATGAATAATATAAGAAAGTTGAATTTAACATTAATCAAAATAATGTTATAAAATAAATTTTAAGGTGAGGTTTTTTGCTTGTGGCGATTGTTTGTGCTTTTTTTGGATTTATTTATCGCATTTTATTGCCAACAAAATGTAATGAAACAACACACACAACAAAAGGGTTGGCATCTGAATCCATGTGCTGGCCATTTGTGGTTGAGACTAATCAGTTTCTCAGAGTTTATGAAAATACAAAGAGCAAGGTTGGTCATTTAATTTTCTATCTTACTTGACTATTTATTGATTTATTTTTTGATACTATTGATTGTCCATGAGTCATATGTATAAAAATTGCCACACGAATTTTCCAATATCAATTGATGTATACATATATTCTAAAACGTTTTTTTTGATAGAAATTGCATGCTTTTATGGAGGGCATGGAAATTTTTACAAGACAATGTAGTTATTGTTTTTTGCTAGCTCAGTCAAAGCCAAAAAGGGTTAAAAAAAGCGCAATATTATTCAGCTATATGAAATTGAAGTTTCTAAAATTCAATTAAAAAAGGCGCACATTTGCAACAAATAAGTTCGCAGTGTTTTTTAATGAACATTGAACACATGATCATTAGCCTAATAATTCGACAATGCAAACCAGAAAAAAGAACCACTACTTAACAGCAAAAGCAACCTCTTCATAATTTTGTGCAATACTTGGAGTACTTTCACAATCGAAAATCGACAATTCACTCGCCAAAACAATCGCTGGGGAGAAAAAATACAGATTTACCTATAAACCAATGTTCCAAACATTAGTTATCACTTCAACAAACGAGGCCATAAACGGCTACATAGTCAAAACAGCATGCACCTGCTACAAAACAAAATGTCCCTTCACTACTCGACTAAGCAAGGTTGGTTCATTCAGAATGTTTTAGGCACCACAACATAGACATGCTTAATTGATTCTAGAACAATAACATCCACGCATACAAAAGGTGATGAGAGAAGGCGCACTATGATGGCAGCGAACTAAGCAGACTGCGCGTTACAAAATAGACAACTAAAGTTTACTTGAAGCTGGCAATGTCACACCCCGCCTTACTTAAATTTAAAAATCAGAGTAAAATTTTTGCTTTTATTTTCGAAAGATTGTGCGAGCTTGGTTTTGAAAATACTAACTTGTTGCGGGATGTCATAGTTAAAAACTTACTTAACTTACTCACAGACATAAATAAAACATGCAACCAATCGATCCGCTATGGATAATGGAATCACACATGCAATGTCTGAATGTCTCGCACTGTCTAAATCTGGCTAGCGGAAGCATATCCGAAATACAGAATACATGCATACATATTCGAAATGATACATGATCATAAAAACTAGGACATAAAATGTAGACAAAAATGTCCCCGACTATCATGACCACGCTTGCCACGCATATGCTCACCCGGCACGCTCGACTCCGTCACCTGAAAAACAGAATGGGGGCGTGAGCAAACCACTATGCTCCGAAATTACCAGTACTGATAAAACAGCATTAATAATAACATATCATTAGCATCAATAATAAGAGCTTAAACTATAAACTTCTCTTTCTTTCTGTACTGTGGTCAAAAGACCCTCGACCCTCGGCCGCTCGTGTGCATACCCCGATCAGGATATTAAGGCCCTTGGCCTCCATCGGGCACCAGGTGGAATATTAAGGCCCTCAGCCTCTAATCCTGGGAGATATACCTGTCTCAAACATACCTCAGTCATGGTACAGATGTTATAAATGATGTAGAATCCAGTACATGACCCCTACCTGGTATATTGAAAATATGACGCAAGTGCTTGAAATTAAAGTAGCGGTCAGAGGCTCGATTCTTCTTAGGCTACATAAACATATAAGCAAAATAATGCTAAGTATCATGCTCGAAATGTTGAATTATATGCTAAGATGCTCGGTTCTATCTGATCAATTAAACTGGACTGATTTGGCTCGAAAAAATACTAAAATTCTGGAAAGAGACTCAGACCGGAAGTCACAAATCAAAACGGACTCGAACCGCCGGTCGAACCGGCCGGTTCGCTGACTGGCCGGACCGCCGGCTCGGGCTAGGCACGAGGCTCTGGCGCGAGACCTCGTGCGCTGGGACTGGCACGGCGCTGTCGGGCGTCGTGCATGCTGTTTGTGCGCGACTTGCGCCGATGCTGGGCACACGGTCACGCACTGGGCGCTGCGGGCGCTGTTGCGTGCACGTGGGTTGTGCCTCGCTCCTACAGGGCGCGGGCACTGGCTAGGGCTAGCCTCTGTAGGCACGGACAGGCTTAGGGCCGGCACTGCGTGCTATAGGCGCGGCCAGTGACCATGGTCGGTCCTTACCGGCCATCCGGGGACATGCAACACATATCTCTTCAACATGATACAATATGCATAAAAATGCAAGAAAATGCCATGAGACCTAGGGTTGAAATGCATGTTGTTCGGTAGGGCCTAAATGGCACGTACGAACACTTAACCACCAAACCAACTATTTAATCCTAAACCTATGATCATGGCCGAGTGCTTTGCATAACAAATAATGGCTAATGAGGCTGAAATGGTAGCAAGAACTCACATGCATAAGGATAAGGCTCGGGGGTGAAAAATGGCATAAATTCCTGAACAAGTTGACAGAACAAACAAACTCCAAACATGCTCAAATTTATACACCATCAATCTCATGATAAATGAGGAGGATTAGGCTATCAATTTCAGTCCTAGCATGCATGCAACTAAAAATCCAATTTTAAGGCATTTAACTCTTAAAATTCGAAACTCATGAAATCTCACGTGCATGGCTTGATTTTACTACATGAAAAATCCTAAAATATCATAAATAGGCTGAGGGAAAAAGATAGTTCGAGCTAACCTTCACCAAAATGGAAGAATGGTTGCTAGGGCTTTGCTCGGGCTAGGTCACGACCTTTGGTGGTTTGGCTTGGTTCGGGACGGTTTGGCTGAGCTTTGAGGGACTCAAGGGACTTAGAAAAATCTAATAATTACTTAGAAGTTGCTAAGCCTCGTGAGATTATGGCTGGAATGGCTTGGAGCTCGTGAACTCCTCTTCTCGGCTTGCTCGCGCACGTGGTGGCTAGGTAGGGAGGCTCTCGGTTTTTCTCTCAATCCTCACTATTATGCTCGAGTTTTAGAGTGTCTAAGGGTCTGAAATGACTGAAGAGAGGGTCTTAAATAGTTGGAGGGGGCGGATTTTACAAGGTGTGGTCAAAGGGGACAAAAATGGGTGCCTTTCACCACTTCACATGCATGGAAACTTGAGGCTGGTCTTGGGCACGTTTTGCATGGGCTTTTGGGTGGAAAAAGAGGTGTTTTCAGAGTATCTTGGCAGGGGACAAGGTCTGGTATAGCAGCACTAGGGACAAGGGGATAAGACTTACACATGTGCATTAAAATAATGCATGCACATGCACCCACTTCAGCTTAGGGCCAAAAGATTAAGGCTTAAACTTTCTTAGGGCAACTTAAGCTTGGATTAACCCTTATTAAGTCCCTAAAATTCACAGCCTTTGGGTCTTGAAAGAAGTGGGCCGAAACTCTTGGAAAAGGGCTTGGAAGATGGGTTGGTCGCTGCTGGCGCGGGCCTGGGTGCTGGGCTCGAGCGCGGCCCTGCTGGGCGTGCGTGTTGGGCGCGTGGGTAAGGCCTGCTGGCGCGAGACTGCGGGGCTGCTCGCTTGAGCTGATCCTTGAGTGAATTTTGGACTTAGAAAATTTCCCAAAACATTTGTTAAGGCTTGGACACGGTCTTCGGCATGGCCTTGGACCTCGGCACGGCTTGGGGCGCGGGCGTGAGGCTCGGCACGAGCGGGCTCGCGTAGAGGCTAGGCTCGAGAATGAGGGTCCAAGACTTGAACTTAGGTACTTCAACACACTTAGAAAATATTCTAAGTATCATGATACCAAGGCTCGGCTATGCTAGAAAATGACTTGAAAATTGACTCGGAACAAAACTAGGGTTCGAGGCCAGTAATTTCCCGAGTCGATTAGATATCAATTATCAACCCAAATTAATGGATTGATCTTGACCTAAACTTGACATAGAAAGATTATTTAAAAGGATGATCTATCAAACTTAGGAAATAATTGAGCATTTAGCATATAAAACATAACTCGGAATTTCTAAAAATACGAATTTCACTTATAGTCGAGCAGTGAAACCGTTCTAATATTATTTCTGAATCGGGACGTTACAGGCAACATACCATAGCATTAGACAAAAGAGATTAATAAAGTTCACCGTTTAATGGGTGACTGATCATTTCGCAGTGCGCGCCTTCTTTGTCGTGGTGTCGATGATTGTTTGGTTAATAATTTTTTTGTGCAGACATGTTTCGCTGCATTCATCAGCACTCAACTTTCCACATCGTTGATGGCATTCTTATTAGCCTTGAAGTTCAGTGAACGCCTAGTTTGTGGCTTTGATGCAAGTGTACCATTTTTGGTCGTACTTTGTGCAGCAAGCGCCAGAACACATGCATTTTGTATTTCATTCTCCCCATCCGGCTACAACAGTCATTAGTAAAACAATCAGTATTTTTTCATCGATAAGCTTCATTGTCTATTTAGCAGGTTTCACGTCATTTCTGTCACCTGGGTATTTCCCGTCGATTCTTCCATCACTTAGTCATCTAGAATAGCCAATATGTAATCTGGAAGATCATCATCCACATAAAGAGTTACCACAGAGTTTGTTATTCCATTCGTTTGAAATGACCTGATGAAGCAGACAACATGTGCCCCTTTTATCTTGTTTCATATGTTTTCCACTAAGCTTTCGGCCTGCTAAAAGTTTATTCTGTGTTCAGTGAATAGTTGCTATAATTAGTACCACCTTTGAACCCATGAAATTCACCTGTTCATTTGCATGTTGCAGCTGCAGACCCGTTTTTTGAATGAGTTTTTCCGCTTCTTGCCCATAGGCCACCGCGTCAATAGAACTGGTTCCATCCTCAATGGTAATTAGAATCTTAGCCCTGTAATAATGTGGTGAGACATGTATGAGGTTCAACATGTATGGAATATTGTTTAATATCTGGAAAAAATGTGCATATAAGACGTTATTACCTTGCTAATATTTGGCTATCTCTGTTGTAAGAGGTGCAATGAATTTCAGAGCTGACTGGCAGTTCAAAATTTTGTAAGCAATTATGCATGCTCCAAACCACAGTGGTTGTTGCACATAGCCAAGAACCACTGAACCTTCTATCCAGGCTATCTAAATCTATTGGCCATATCAAGTGTTATAGCGAGCGATAAACAATTAGATAAATTAGTCATGTTGTGTCCTTTTTTTTGGTTTATTGTTTTTTCTCTTATTTAACTCAAATACCGTATTGTTAGGACTGATGAGTGTCTGCATAGTCTTGATGTCTTTAGGGTGTGGCGGCGGCAGTAAAACCAAAGTATTTTTGTAAGCTTCAGTTGCAATGAGGTCTGCAACAACAAACTTCTCCTACAGATACTTTTGCTTATTAACATATAAAATGCACAACAAATGAAGCCAGAAATCACATTAATTAAAATGCGTCTTACATCCAAATCGAAAAATACGAAACGACGACATGAGATGGCTGGATCTCTCTGACTGACTAAGATGTGGCTCCTCTCGAAAACCTGGACCAACGCCATCCAACCCCGAACTTTTTCTTCGATCTGAGGAATTGGAATTGTTTTCTTCATTGTAACCTAAAAATATCAAATGTAAGATTGTGAATGTCTGAAGAGAAGTTAATATTCAACCAAAAAGTTCAAAGATCCTACAAATAACATACCTTTGTTTGCACTTTTTTCAACGTGTTTGTGTAAGTGGAGGAGCACGAGTGATGATTGTTTATAGAGAATGATATGAAATTCAACAATGACCAAGAAAATGTACTTTTATCACGATTAGTGACACCCGTTATATGACTGCCTCATGAAAAAAGTTTGAAATGGTTAAAAGTTGTCCCACCAAACGTGGCCTTATGTACAAACTTAAAATTAGGCTGCAATAAATCAACAACTCCACACCCATGTTCAGAGAAAGTGCGCGCCTTCTTTGAGAAGGATCACAAGTAATTGTTAAATCTCTTCTACTGTGTAAGATTATAATCTGCTATCTGTGTCCCTAAATTGCGTCAAATCCCACCAAACCTAAAAAACAAATAAAAGAATTCATTGATGAAAAAGCGACAATCGTCGCTTACCTTGTACCCCAAAAACGCGGTAGAGTCGTGCACGTCTGAAAAAAATGAGCATCATTACCATGATCTCGCTCTTCATCAAAATCTTGGCCAAAGTTAGTAATTGATAAAAGGCAACAGATGTTCGCCACACTTCAATGGTGAATGGATAAATAGAGTTATAAATTATAGTGGTGGATCTAATTCTAAATATGTACAAATAGTAATAATATATAGTTGACAACAATAACTTTTTTTCTTATTTTAAAATATTGCTGTTAAATTTAAGAAAAAATAAAGAAATTAATGTCTAAAATAGTGGTTAGATTTGTTGAACTCAATACTTATATACGCACCTGGATTGTAAAATTATCAATTATGTCTGAATTTGCAAACTAGGGATAGTGACTGTAACTTAAGGACTAATAGACAACGATTAAAAAGGGAATGACTTCTTCAAATGTCTCCATAGGAACGAAAGAGAGCCACAACAGAAATTTAGTCATTAATTGAAAAAAAAAATATTTCAAACACAGCTATAAATATAAATCTTGTGTTATAGAGTACGTCTAATAGAGCAATAGTAGATTTCTAAAAATGTATATACAGTGATGCTGATCATTTAAAAGATGATTTGTGCATATTTGAATATGGAAACATGCATAGTTTACCGAAGGACCACATTATAATAGTTTAAGGAACGACAACACTATTATTTGAAAACAATTTAGTGTCCTGAATTTAACTATATGTTTGATTGTAATTACCTATGACTTTTTTATATTTTTTAAAAAACGATCTCACCAAAACTCACATAAAGAAAACCAAACATCATAAAAGATGTTTATTTTTGGTTAAAACCACAGGCCATCTGCAAATTCCCAAGAGAAGTTGAACTTGAAAACTAAAGAGCACCGAAAATACTTACTTAATTGATCTTTAAAATGCTAGGATACATTAGTAGGCCCGTTTTGTCCAAATGGCCCAAAAGCATAAATGAGAAGAATTTACATAACCTAAGTCAACAAAACAAACATAAATTCTCAATAGAATCTCTTTCTCGAATTTTTTTATTTTTTAAAAGTCTCAATACAATCCAAATTTCTTTAAGCAAAATTCAACAAACCCCACATTATTGCAAAGAAGACTGAAAAAAATCACCAACGTTTCCACAACTATACTTTCTAATATACATCGACATTTCCAAAATTAAAGGCCACAGTGTCCTAAACATAACCAATATGATGTTTAATAATATGAGCATACATTTGAATCAAAGTAATATAGAGAATTCATTTTGAGCCTCTGTGTCAGTTATAGAACACGAAAACCATAGTTCTTGCCAATTCTGGTTGTTTTTTCATTTCTAAACAAACAACATTCATTTTGCAATATGTGTTCTTTATAATATGAAGAGCCTCTTCGGCCAAAAGAACACAAAAATGGGTAACTGTTGACATGCGTCATATTTACGTGCATTTTGTAGTGATTTTCCGTGTCCGTTTTGTCGTAGTTTGATATATAATTAATTATTATTTATATAATTAATTATTTAATTATTTATATTAAGCTATGACGAAGATGTTTTATTTGAGTTTTGATAAGAAACAGGTCGAGTTAATTTTTGGAGTCGAAAATGGCGTGAATTGTACATAAAAGTAGTGGGAGCCAGGCATTGAGACAGGCCCAAGTACATAGCCCCACAAGAGCAACATGACAGTCCATTTTGTTTGGTTTCTTGGGCCAAAGAACCAGCCATCTTATTCCATAAAACCAGCCCACAAATTGCAACTTAAGTAAGGGCACAAAGGACATTTCACCATAAATGGATCATCTTCTTCCTCCAGCTATCACCATTCACGATTCATGTGCATATCTGCTTCTCACATGGCTGCTACTCCACCACCTCGCCGCTGCACCATATCTACTTCGATGCTTCTCGCATACCGAAGCTCCGAACATACCACCGCCCTCCTTCCTGATTTTCGAACACCTGAAGCCATGCTGTCCGCGCCGGAGGAAACGCAGGTCGCCGGAGCTGCCCGGAATTCGCTGTAAAACCACCGTTAAGGCACGTACGACCGCCTATAACCTTCCTAGGACATCGTAGATCAGTACAGAACACATTGACGGAGAAGCTGCAAACTTCCGCGCAGGTGGGTGTGCTTTGCCGGAAAATGCCATGGCCGGATACCTAGACATAGTCTGACCACCTGGACGCGACTTATGACCACTGGGAGACACCTGAGAATCTGTAGAACACGTCAGGAGCCTAAATACACCGAGAAAATGAAGTTTTAGCCATCCAGGTAACACGAGACACGAGTCGTGTCGCTCTGACGGGTCGTATATGGAGCTCTCGACTTTGTCACACGATTCGTGTGGCTTATGACACGAGTCGTGTGACCCTGGGCACGACAAAATCTGGATTTACGCGTTTTTCCTATTTTTTCGGTATTTTCGACCTATTTCGACTAGGACTCGACCTCAACTATATATACAACCCTAGGACACGTTTTTTGGGAGTCTATGACATATTTTGGAGACCTTTGGAGGCTAGAAACACGAGAAAGACGAGGGAGAAAGCCGGGAAGGAAGGATCGACGTAGCCGAATAAGCTTTTTCTTTCTTTTTCTTTTTCTCTTTCGAACTCAATACTTTATATTTATTTTTCTTATTTTGAAAGCATGTTTCTAGGCTAGATTTATCTTAGATTCTAGGATTTGTTAGTACTCGGATTGATTTATGATTTAGTTTTTATTTATTTCATTCTGGTTTATCTTTCGTTTATAAATTTCTTGTGCTTATTATTATTGTGTGAGTAGATGGCCACTATGAATGCATATTTGTGATCGATTTGAGACCGAGAGGAGATAATTGATCGCTAGAATTGGGAAATTTATAACGTAAGAGAATAAACAGACCGAGAGGTTGATAGGACCTTGCGAGAGAACGAAAATCCTAGGAACTTATGGGAGTTAGTTGTTCATCTTGAGACCGAGAGGAGATAGATAACAATTAATATCTACGATTTAACTTGTTCGAGAGAAAGGTTTGAAATCAATTTAGCGATTATCTCTACGATTGGTAAAATTAAATAAGGTTTTGTTTGAATATAAACGTTTCATGAATTAATTCCGATGAAAGCATAACCTAGAATCTACCTTTTGTATCTTATTTTATTTTTATTTGTTTAGATAAATTAGTTTTTAGTTTAATTCTTAGTTTATAATCATCATTCAATACTAGTCTAGATAATATTTAATCGTCGTTATTTTAGTATTTAATTAATTTAACTACAATCTATGTGGAATACGACCATAATAATTCACAAGTTTTTTTTTGAATTGCGGCCTATAGCTACGCCGTACACTTGCATAATAATATTTAATCGTCCCCAGAAATTGTCGTAATTCCAGTCATGCAAATAATTCACGTCCTAGACGGGTTCATACATTGACACCGCATTCACCCCGACATTCTCGTTCTTCACCCCTTGCATGCCGTTAAGCACCAATGTGGCTATTTGACCCGCCAACTCTGACATTTGGTCTGTATTGGTAGTCGTCAATACTCTATTAAACATCGTCTGCTCCACCGGCCATTGGTAGCTATTAAACGCCATCTCGCAAGAAAGAAAGAAAAACAAGAAAATATCAGAAAAGAGAAAAAGAAAATAAAATAAAAAAAATAATAAAAAAAATGTCTAAACTAATATCTGTTCGTCTTCTTCTAATATTAATCAATTCAACAAACAATCCCCGACAACTACAATCTCGTGTCATAAGCCACACAAGTCGTGTGACAAAGTCGAGAGCTCCATATACGACCCGTCGGAACGACACGACTCGTGTCTCGGGCTCACACGACTCGTGTGTACCTGGATGGCTAAAACTTCATTTTCTCGGTGTATTTAGGCTCCTGACGTGTTCTACAGATTCTCAGGTGTCTCCCAGTGGTCATAAGTCACGTCCAGGTGGTCAGACTATGTCTAGGTATCCGGCCATGGCATTTTCCGGCAAAGCACACCCACCCGCGCGGAAGTTTGCAGCTTCTCCGTCAATGTGTTCTGTACTGATCTACGATGTCCTAGGAAGGTTATAGGCTGTCGTACGTGCCTTAACGGTGGTTTTACGGCGAATTCCGGGCAGCTCCGGCGACCTGCGTTTCCTCCGGCGCGGACAGCATGGCTTCAGTTGTTCGAAAATCAGGAAGGAGGGCGGTGGTATGTTCGGAGCTTCGGTATGCGAGAAGCATCGAAGTAGATATGGTGCAGTGGCGAGGTGGTGGAGTAGCAGCCATGTGGGAAGCAGATATGCACATGAATCGTGAATGGTGATAGCTGGAGGAAGAAGATGACCCATTTATGGTGAAATGTCCTTTGTGCCCTTACTTAAGTTGCAATTTGTGGGCTGGTTTTATGGAATAAGATGGCTGGTTCTTTGGCCCAAGAAACCAAACAAAATGGACAGTCATGTTGCTCTTGTGGGGCTATGTACTTGGGCCTGTCTCAATGCTTGGCTCCCACTACTTTTATGTACAATTCACGCCATTTTCGACCCCAAAAATTAACTCGACCTGTTTCCTATCAAAACTCAAATAAAACATCTTCGTCATAGCTTAATATAAATAATTAAATAATAATTAATTATATATCAAACTACGACAAAACGGACACGGAAAATCACTACAAAATGCACGTAAATATGACGCATGTCAAATCCCCCAAACTTAACCATTGTTCGTCCCCGAACAACAAATAAGCAAAAACAAACCACGTGCATTAGAAGTGATTTCAAACAAGAAAAGCCTCAAATCACTTAAATAATCAAGATAAATTCAAGTAATCTCAAATACATATGACCCAACTCTTAACTTGATGAACTTTTAATTAATGAATTCTCAAATATGGTCAAATATATATGTGCCTCACTCGAATATCTTGTGAAAAAAAAAAAACATAAAATAGAAGGGTACGCTCAAAGTAGTTCGAAAAACTAAGTCAACCATAAACTTGCAAATCGTCTACACTTTACTAAATAAAATTAATGTACGTGAGCTAAGAATCAAAAGGTCTTTTTGGTTGTAATGTAGGCTCTTTGGATATGGAAGGAAAATATAGGCCAAGTGACTAAAAAAAAATCGATTTTCCAAACAAGAATAAACTGCAAGGACAATATTTTCTAGGTGTAGCCATTGGAGATCATCCAAGTGTCCTAGAATGGTTTCCCATTACTCATTACTCATGACTCGACAAATCAAATCAACGAGTAAGAGGAGTAGAATCCTCACAATTCGCCTTGCGAGCTCTCTTTATATTTTTTTTTTCAATCAAATGCCTCAAATCACACAAACAAATCATAACCCATCTCATACTCAATATTCCCAAAACAAAAAAAATCACCATAGCTCATTATCACATAAAGCTTCATTCAACCCCAACATCTCCAAGTAATATGAAATTATCACCCAAGGGCTATCGAGAAAAGGCTCAAGGCTCAAACGGGCTACTAAGGCTAAAATTTTAGGAAAAATAAAAGAGGATAAAATGGGCTAGATAACAAAAACCGCCTAAATCATTTTCAAAACTCCACGTACATAATCATATTTTTCAAGTAAGCACCAATGCAAGTTCTAGTATCCCAAGTATTCGACTAATCACACAAGAAATAAAATAAGGCTCAAATCCTCTCCAAGGCAAATAAATCATTAATTCAAAGCAATAAGGTTATTCATCAAGGCATATAATTTATGATCACCTTCACAATATCTTAATTAAGATAAGTAACTCTAAACAATTCTTGTCTATCCACCAATCATCCAAAACACACACAAGACAAAGCAAAAATATTCGACTCAACCAAACTATTAGTAATCTAATAAAGCAAGTAAACGTGCATCCTAATAAATAAAATAACCTAAAAAAAATCATAAAAATAAAAACTAATGCAAACAACTATATGATATGCAATAAAGCGATAAAAATTCAAGATATACAACACCTCTTTCCCCCAAACTTATTCTTTGGAAAAGAATGAAGTTTAAGAAAAATAAGTGGTAAATCTCAAGTAACTAACCGATAAGTCGAGCGAGCTCCACCGTAAGCAATCCTTGCAACCCTGAGCACGATCATCTCCTCCATTCTTCGCTCGACCACTCGATCACCACCTATTTTTTTTATTTTATTTTTTTTTCACTTTTTTTTTTCTTTTTCCAGATTTTTTTAAAATAATAATAATAATAATAATAACAATAATAAAATAAAATAAAAAAAACGAAAATAAATAAAAATAAATAAAATAAAAATAATAAACGATGGGTTGCCTCCCAACAAGCGCTTAATTTAACGTCTTTAGCTAGACGTCTTCCGGGCTCTCAACAAGGGTCATTCCCGTTCATTCCAATCTCCTCCTTGATCTTCTCATGGCGTCGGCTACCGTCTTTTGGCTCTTGAATTTTCCAACCACGAGCAAGTGTAAAAATTCGGTATTCATCATAAGCTCGAAATGTGATCTCATCAAGCTCCATGTCAATAAGTACCCGTCCGGTGGCTAGGAATGGCCTTCCTAAAATCAACGGCGTATCACCGTTATCCTTCATGTCAACTACTACAAAATCTGCCGGAAACTTAACTCCATCCACCGTCAACCAAACATCCTCTACTATTCCTGTGGGACGAACTTGGGATTTATCCGCCATCTGAAGAGTGATTCTAGTCGGTTTAAGCTTCTCCAATCTCAACTTCTCGAAAACCGAGAGTGGCATCAAGTTGACGCCAGCCCCTAAGTCGCATAGCCCTTTTCCGGTATATAAGTCTCCAACTCCGCAATCGATATAAAATCCACCGGGATCTTCGCACTTAACAGGACGGTCTCTTTGGAGTAGTGAACTACTCTCCTCCTTGAGTGTAACCACCTCATGAGCCTCAATCGGGCTCTCCATCTTCTCGTCTGAAGTAACCAAAACCGTCTCGACCCTCGGTTCCTTTTCTTCTTGCTCATGTACCTCGTTCATCTCAGTCAGAACGTCATCTCTCGTCTCTTGGGCATCCTCGGCTTTGCAATCCCCTGGGGTGATCTCCGTATGACTCGGAAATTGGCCCTCTTGCTGTTGACTCTCGACCATCGCGATCATTTGCCCCAAGTGTTGCCCAATCGACTTCATTCGATTCTCCATCGAAGCAGCTCGAGCCTCATTTTTAGCTATCAACTTGTCCATGTTACTCATGACCCTGGCGAAGGTTTCCTCAAATGACTCCTTCTTCGGTTCGTTCATGAATTTTTGTGTCTGAGTCATAAATGTTTCTGTGGTACTCATGAGTGAGGCGAACGCTTCTTCCAGTGCCGACTTCTTCAGCTCATTGATGACCCAATTGGTCACCGAAAGTCCCATTGGCGGTTGTAGAGCATTGTATGGATCGGTGTACGAGAAATTAGGATAGTTCTGGTTGCCCGAATAGTACGTGTTACTTCCTTGATATCCCCAAAAATTGTCGTAATTCCAGTCATGCAAATAATTCACGTCCTGGACGGGTTCATACATTGACACCGCATTCACCCCGACATTCTCGTTCTTCACCCCTTGCATGCCGTTAAGCACCAATGTGGCTATTTGAGCCGCCAACTCTGACATTTGGTCTGTATTGGTAGTCGTCAACACTCTATTAAACATCGTCTGCTCCACTAGCCATTGGTAGCTATTAAACGCCATCTCGCAAGAAAGAAAGAAAAACAAGAAAATATCAGAAAAGAGAAAAAGAAAATAAAATAAAAAGAATAATAAAAAAAATGTCTAAACTAATATCTGTTCGTCTTCTTCTAATATTAATCAATTCAACAAACAATCCCCGACAACGGCGCCAGAAACTTGTTCGCTATCCGCAAGTGTATGGCGTAGCTATAGGTAGTGGCGAGCAAGGTCGTATTCCACAGAGATTGTAGTTAAATTAATTAAGTACTAAAATAACGACGATTAAATATTATTTAGACTAGTGAATTGAATGATGAATATAAACTAAGAAATAAACTAAAAACTAATTTATCTAAATAAATAAAAATAAATAAAGAAACAAAAGGTAGATTCTAGGCTAAGCGTTCCTCGGAATTAATTCATGAAACGTTTATATTCAAACAAACCTTATTTAATTTTACCAATCGTAGAGATAATCGCTAAATTGATTTCAAACCTTTCTCTCGAACAAGTCAAATCGTAGATATTAATTGTTATCTATCTCCTCTCGGTCTCAAGATGAACAACTAACTCCCATAAGTTCCTAGGATTTTCGTTCTCTCGCAAGGTCCTATCAACCTCTCGGTCTGTTTATTCTCTTACGTTATAAATCTCCCAATTCTAGCAATCAATTATCTCCTCTCGGTCTCAAATAGATCACAAATAGGCATTCATAGTGGCCATCTACTCACACAATAATAATAAGCACAAGAAATTCATAAACGAAAGATAAACCGGAATGAAAGAAATAAAAACTAAATCATAAATCAATCCGAGTACTAACAAATCCTAGAATCTAAAAGGTTTAGCTACTAAACATATTCTCAAAACTCAAAATAAATAAATCCATGAGTTCAATGAAGAAGGAAAAGAGAAAAGAAAGAAGAACTATTGTCGCCGTTAGTTCCCGAATCTTCAATCTTGACTTCCTCGAATCCCTCGTGTGTTTCGTGCTTTCTCTAGGCCTCCAATGATGTCAAAAGTCACAAAAACGAGTTCCTCAGGTCTGTTTTATACTGTAGGGCGAATTTGGGTCGAAAAGGGGAAGAAATCACACAAGAATCCTATTCCCTGCTGATTAGGTCTGCGCGTCACACAAGTCGTGTCACATGCCACACGAGTCGTGTGACTTTTCTCAACATTTCAACGAACTTCCAGACTCACACGACTGGTCACACGAGTCGTGTGAGGTCACACGACCCGTGTCTCAATCCACACGACCCGTGTGAAAAAGCCGCAGCTGCACTTGTTATTTTCTCAACTCACACGACCCGTGTCACCATCCACACGAGTCGTGTGGCCTCTTCTGCACCCGTTCTCGCCGTTTTTCGTCCCAATTCCATTTTCAACGCTTTTCCGGGCATATTTCCTGCAAAACCAATGACAAAAGCACCTCTATCATAGATTAATAAATAAAACAAAATGGTGCACAATCACACGATAACCATGGCCAAATATCACAATACATCACTCATAATGTATGAAAATATGATGAATGTCAACTGTCACCAATTAGAGAATCGTTGGGTGTTGTAAGTTTTTTTTCATTTCTTGTGTGTTAATAAACCACATTTATGAGCTCATGCATGTCACATTATTTTGTCGTTTTAAAAAAGCATTGCGCCTAACGAATTTTATGGTTTGGAGTTCATATCATCATACAGTGCGTTTTAAAGCCCAAGGTGTTGTTTTATCAGCAGTTTAGTATGTTATAAAAAATCACATGACAAAATCTGAACACTAAACAAATTACTATACTCACATAGTATGTCTTCACAGGGAAAAAAAAACTTAATTGTAGCAACATCATTCCAAACACTTAATACCATTTCAACAAAAGGGGTCCCTGAAAAACGCATAACCAAAACGCCATCAAACCATTAATACAACAAAACAACCTTTCACGTGCACATAGCGATGGCCATCGTTCAAGGAGTTGGGCAACATTCTAGAATCTTGTAAGCACCCTAGTATGAAGGTGCTTAATTGGTTCTGGAATGATAGCCCCCACACAACAAAAGGTGCATAAGCAAACTTGTCAACTACTTACATAGTATAACACAAAATAGAGTACTAAAGTTCGACGCCTAACTTATGGTGAATCACTTGCTTGTGCGTGCTTTCTTCACCGCGCCACCCACTATCAGCTGCTCGGTCACAACTTTCTTTTGTAGGACAGGTGCCGCTGCACTCGCCGTGCTGCAGATCACCCACATTCTTCATGCCACTCTTATCAGCTTTGAAGTCGACGACACGCCCAGTGAGGAGCTCACATGCAAGATCAACATCTATGCCCATAGATTCACCAGCCGCTGCCTCAGTGTACGCCTTAGGATTTGGCGCCTGTAGTTTTGTCTCTTCCTCAGCGTATGTTTTATTGGGAAAATACTCAGTCCAATTTCTTCCACGAAATTTACGCCTTTATTATGGACACAAAANCCATAATCTGAGTCCTAAGTGGTGACTTCTGAGTTATGCATTCTTCTGAAACTGGAAGTATGTAGTCTGGCAATGCAACATCCACGTATAGCTTGACCACGGAGTAGGCTTTGCCATTTGCCTGAAAAGACCGGACAAAAGCCATGACATGAGCCCCCTTCATCTGGGCCGTAACTTTTCCAACAAATCCATGCCTTGCACATTTAAATTCATCTTTCTTGAGGATAAAGTGCACCACAACTATCTATTCTCACCTATGTCCAACAAAGATAATATAAGACCATGGACAGTACTTACACCAAAGCTTCTTTAATATTACTGATTACCTGTGCATCCGCATCCTCAAGCTATACAGCAGTGTGGCTGATGAGCTTTTCACCGTCTTGGCCATAGACGACAGCTAAAATGGTACCAGTCGCATCTTCAATGGTTATTGGAATCCTAGCCCTGCAATAAATAGATGTGTTGTATTTTCTGTTGCCCAAAATAAGTATGTTCTATCCTGTTTAACAGGTTGTGGCAAATGGCAATACATAGCTACTATCTGGTTTTCCCTGTTGTAGAAGTTGTACCTTATTTCAGAGGTGACGGGTAGGTCGAATTTTTCAGGCAAAGCATGCATTCGCCAAACCACAATGGCTATTGTACATAGGCCAGAGCAACTGAACCTTGTATCCATGCAGTCTGAACCTATGTTGTGCAACACCCCAAAAATTTTATCAGAATGAAGCACACACAAATATACTTTTGAAAATCACAATATGTACCTTGTTATTTAGGGCTGAGAAGTGTGGCAATGGTCTTGATGTCTTCAGATTTTGGTGGCGGGAGCAAAATTGCAGCCTTCTTGTATGCGTCAGTCGCAATGAGCTCCAACACAGCTGGCTTGTTTTGCAAGCACCTGAATTCATTATCCACACATGTTAAGTTTTAGAGAACTCCAACGGCTGTTATCTTACAGATATAATTTCAAATGACCTACCAATGTTTTAGAGTAGTAGCAGCGGGTGTCAGTGGATTGATGAGAATAGAACTGGTAGCAGCGGGTGTCAGTGGATTGATGAGAATAGAACTGGCTGCTCTAGTAGACAACGAAAGGCCATGGAACGTAGTCACTTTCACTCGCATAGCCACAACAACATTTCCCGCATTAATGGTTTGAGCCAGCTGTGAGTCTTCGATCTCACCAAAGGCATTCCATAGAGTAAGTATCATTGGCACCATCCTACAACCACAAAAGTTTTGTCAGTTACAGCACAACAGCAAAAAAGAAAGCATTTATGATATTTAAGTTTGGATAAGGCTCACTCTTGGTTGACCACTGTTCACCGCGTCCACTCCAACGTCTTTCAGTTCAAAAGTGTGTGCCACAACACCCTGAACATCTGCACAACCATATACCATCACACAACAGTTAGTACAAATGCGGCAGAGACACTACAACAAAACATTTTAACACAACAACATTTCAGACTGGATTTCTATAATTTATAAAATGTGAGACGACATACTCTGCAGATCTTCAATGTCCACAAATCTATGCAAATTCCCAAACTTCTCACACTCAATGTGGTAGTCAAGCTGGTCCGACTGCTCATTCTCACAAGGCTGAATCAAAGTGCGGTTGGTGATTGTCCATGAGAACAGATAAGGCCATCCATGTATTTCGGGTCTGCCTTCTTTAAGGTAGCCCCGGAGACATAGTACCTCTTATAGAGCTGCAGCATAAGCGAAGATTCCCGACTATTATTGTTATACGCCACTTTCGTTCCCTGAAAAAGCACATACAACAATGTAACTCAAATACCAGATGCTAGAGCAGAAATGATCCATAACCAAAATTGAGGCCTGAATCATGTATCAAGCATATCACCTCAGAGTCTACAAATGCAAACCGACGGTAAGAAATTGATAAATCCCTTTGACTAAAAAGTATGTTGCTTCGCTCAACAACTTGAATCAATGTTGTCTAGTCTCTCACATTGTCGCCAATCTGTGCAACTTGCATGGTATTCTTCATTGTCACCTAAGAATTTCAACAGACAAAAACAAACGAATGAGCACACCAATATTTTCTTAAAAACAAAACAAGAATGTGGAAGTCATAAGGAAGACCAAAGAAATGCTAAGCTATAGTGAAACCCAAACTAATTTTCGGAATTCAAATAGCCTGGGGTGGACTACGAATTTGATTCCTTTTTCATTAATGTGGAAGCACAGTTTATTGCAAGAAAATGTAGAATGCTATTTTCCTACCAAGTTTTTCTTGTATGGATTTGTCTGTGTGAGTGTCATATTGCCCCACTATATATATCTCGTGAATTGAAGAACAACAGTGGTTAATAGCAGAAAAAGGTGCCACTGTTGTGCAAGTACAAACTACCCATGCCCCAAAGATTTGCCTTTTTCCACCCACCTTATTTCCACACTACAATTGTGTTCCTAAACCCAAGACTGTACCCAAAATGTAGGCAGTCATATCACCTTTTTGGCCAATTACTAAGACCTCTTTGAGAGGAAGAATAATCAGAATAGAAATTATGAGACGTGCATACCAGAAAAAATAATCCTACGCAGATTTAGGCAACCCAACATTACGCAGTCTGGGCCGCTGCCTCAACATTTTGGCACTTCAATTTGACTTTTTCTTGTGTTTGTCTCATTTTTGTTGCGTTTTTCGTGTTTATTTTATCTTTCTTTTTCCCCATTTTAGGTCGTTTCTTTAGCTTTTAGTCCGTTTCGTGTTTTATTATATGTTTTCCTTCATCTTGAGTCCTTAGGTGTTTTTCGTTTGTTTTTCCGATTTTCTTTTGTGTTTTGTCGTTTTTTTTGTGTGTAGGTCAGGAGCTTTGGGCGAATTTTCTCTTCAGGAAAAGTTGGTTTTGAGAGCATAACTGGATAGATGGGTTCGTTGGTGACGCATGGCAAAAAACGGAACTCAATTCCGAGTTCGGACGAGCCCAAACGAGCTCGAAACGTAAAGCAGCGCGCAGCTGCCCAGTTTCCTTCACCGCGGCCGCGGAGAGGAGAAGTCGCGGCCGCGAGGGTCCCAAAACATCCCAAAACTGGCCAGATGAGCTCGCGGCCTCGGAGATGGTCGCGGCCGCGGGAGTCGCGACGAGCAGATTTTTATTTCGGATTTTTGATCAGTTTTTGAGGACGTTCAACCTAGGTTTTATCATTCTCTCATACTTTTTCACCCCAGAACTCAGTTTTCTCTTATCTTTCACTTGGAATTGATCTTGGAATGTGAAAACACCAAGAGTAAGCTTTAGGATTTGGATTGTTCATTGCTTTTCGACATTGGATTCATATTTAATCGTAAGCTTTCTTTCTTTGTTTTATCTATGATTATGATGGCTTGGATTGATGTGTATGTTGATGTTGAATCTATGATGAGTAGCTAAATCCGTAAGCTAGGGATAGGGGATTAATGTTTTGGATTCGTATGCGATTATTGGGATTCATTGATCGTTCAATTTGTGCGAGTTGTTCTTAAATAGGGTTTCAATTATCATACTTGAAAGTTGAGAATTGTTGAAGGGTGACACTTCAATTTCCAATTGATTTCGATTGAATTTGATTCGTTCTTGCATGATGTTGTTAATGCTAAACGGACTAGTTGGTTAAACACCTTCTAGTTCAATTCAATCGACTTTTAGAACCGAAAGGGGATGAGTCGATAGAAATAGGTTCGTATAAACTAGGCTTGTTCGTAACGGTATTGCCTAGGTGTTAAATGACCCGTTAATTCGCCGTTCACGTCTGTCCTCTTGTTACGAAGAGTTATTGAGGATAAATCTCTGAACGAGTGAATTATTCGAATCATTTAACCGAGTGATCACTGGCCCGATAGTTGCAATTCGAGCCAAAACGGATATCTCCGACTCCCTAGCTTCTTTAATATTTCTTGTTCATCGTCTTTGCTTTGCTATTTCTATTTGCTTAATTTGAAGTTTTACGTAGTTGATAATCAAACCAAATCATCTGAATTAGAATGTTTAGGAATTTTATTTCTTTTATCTGTGCTTGAATAAACGTGCTAAGTATTCCGGCTAACCTTCCTCGTGAGACACGACCCGGTGTTCGAATCTTGTGATTCTACTCTGGTAAAAATTATTACAACATCTTGCGTGCAGGAGCCTTCAAAGTGGCATTCTCTTGCATAAAATCGGGAACAACCGTACAAGCGTATTTCCCAAAGGGCAACTGCAGTAGGGGGAAATCACCGATGAGACTCTGAGCGCAAGACGCAAGTCGGTCGTTACATGCGTAGAAAAGATTTGTCGTACAATAAGCCCATACTGTAATCCTTGACTGGATTTTCATTCAGCACGACACCTGCGCAAGGCAGCGTACATCACTGGGCCAGTTAGAAACTATCCGCTTATGTTAGAAGGACATAGTGTTTGGGCCACGTTTATTGAAGTCCAATTAAACGATGCTTACAAGTTTATTTAAAATTTCCTGCAACAAAATTAGGCAGTACCAAAATAAATACCCAAACAACTGTACACACAAAAAATTAAATATACTTTCACAAAAATCTTAGTTTTTTAAACCCCAAATTGTACTTATAATTGAGGTAGTCATCTCAACTTTTTTTTTTATTTTAATTTTGTAAGTATTTTGGTCACACAAAACAATCATGGAAGAAAAGTAGCACATACACTTTGAAATCGCATTACCCTACAATATGATTTTTAACACACGCGATTGACATTGGCGCAAACAATTGTGTACCGACGTTATATTAATATAAAACTCACAAAATTGCATAAATTGAATGTGTCAAGTATCTTTTCTTTCAAAGATATAGTGTTACCAATTCAATTCAAACTCGCGGAAATGAAATTTTTATACTCCAACTTCATATTTGGCCTGATGGATCTTTTTCAATACAAGACTTTTTTATTTTTTTCATTTTCTTTTGTTGTTCGTGAGTGCGCTTAATTTATTCATTTTGAGTGTTCACCCATTTCTATTGTTGCCTTGGCAGAGAAAGTTCATTCACAATTACTTACATGTGAATTGAAAAACTATGTTTGGGGGTTTATTTAAAAGGGACGGTCAAAACATGATTTTGTTCAAATGACCCTTTCAATAATATTTTTATTTAAATAACACTATCATTCAATAAAGGTAAATAAAAATTTTGAAATACCTAATATGTCCTTACATAGTCAAAGACTATAATAACCTTCTTCTATTTACTGTATCAACTTTTTGAAAAAAAA